CATCTGTTAAATGATTGTCACAGTAGTTTGATATGAAGGACTTGGGAGAAGCTAGTTATGCTTTGGGAATCCGTATCTTGTGAGATAGGAAAAACAGAAGGATTGTATTATCCCAATCTTCATATATTGACAAAATATTGTCTAGATTTGCAATGCAGAATTTCAAAAAGGGACAACTTTCTTTTAGACATGGATTTCATCTATCTAAAGAACATTGTCCCAAGAATGGAATGGAGATAGATTACATAAGAAAGGTTCCTTATACTTCGGCTGTGGGAAGTCTCATGTATGCTATGCTTTACACTAGATTAGATATTTGTTATATCATAGGTATTGTTAGTCATTATCAGTCTAATCCAGGACCAGAACATTGGATAGCAGTGAAGCATATACTCAAGTATATTCGGAGAACGAGAGATTAAATGGTTGTCTATTCAGGACATGATCTAAATCCTATTGGATATACTGATTCCAATTTTCAATCTGATCGTGACTCAAGAAAGTTTACATCGGGATCAGTATTTACACTGGGAGGTGGAAATGTGGTATAGAGGAGTATCAAGCAATCTTGTATTACTGATTCCACCATAGAGGCAGAATATGTAGCGGCTTGTGAAGCTGCTAAAGAAGCTGTATGGTTCAAGAAGTTTCTTTTGGACCTTGACGCGGTACATTTGGCAATGGGGCCAATAACGCTTTATTGCGATAATAGTGGGACGGTTGCCAATGTTAAAGAACCCAGGAGTTATCGGCGTGGCAAGCACATCGAGAGAAAATATCACCTTGTTAGAGAGATTGTTCATCGAGAAGACGTGGCGGTTAGGAAGATTGCATCAACAGATAATCTTGCTGATATGTTCACTAAGACCTTACCAACTAAGGCTTTTGATGGACATCTTAAGGGATGGGTATTCTTAATATGTCACCCATACTCTAAGAAGGGCAAGTGAGAGACTGTTAGCTTGATGTCCATTCTTCGAGTAGTATTCTGTAAAATTACATTATAAATTGACGTTCGTTTATTTGCGTGTTATAATTTGAAGTGATTATCTAAGGTTTCATGATCATAGAGGATGTCACAAATTGTATACTCGATGGATCGGGTATAGTAAAACACAATTCGTGATGTGATCAAAATTATGTCTTTCACAATCGGTTCATAAAGTTGGACGCTTTATGTTGATAAGATTGTATTGTTCTTATTAAGATTTGTCTAGATCTTGAAATAGGAACAATAATTTGTTTTGATGCACATTGAACGGGACCGCGTAGATGACTCATTTATCACCGTTCGAAATAAGACTCTACTTGATTATCAAACAGGTCACTTAAATCCTAAGTGAGTAATGTACCTTTGATTGCTAGTTCAAGTTCTTTGAGGTATCAACGAGTGAAGTCTTAAATAGAAGATTGATCTCGATGCTTTGAGAATCGGGCCGGAACAATTAAAGATCATAAACTTACAATTGTGGAATCCATTAATTATTGAGATGAGACGAACGTCACTCTAAGGTATTTTTCTAGGCAAATTGAATCTGAGTTCACTATATCGATGATGAGATCGTTGGACTTTACATTGTGATTTGATCAAAACGAATTTGCCGTATGAAAATGAGACTTAGAAGGTAATACATGTTGAAGGACAAAAGGGTCATTTTGCCAGTTTCAACATATTAGCGATCAAATGGGGATTGGCTTGTGGAATGATAATCAGAGGTTATTGTTATTGGATCATAATTTGCTTCTATAGCTATTACTCGACTCGAGAGTGCAATCTCGATTTTTTGGTAGAATAAGTCGGGATTAGTAGATGTATCTCAATTGGTCAAGAGTTGACCCAATTGAAAACATCTATTGGAGTTTGGGTCATGTGAGTCTAGGGTTGGCAACAGTTTGGTTATGGGTCGGTTTAGCCAAAACCATAACCGTACCATCAATTTTTTTACTATACCATAACCGCACCATAACCACGTAAATCAGTTCGGTTCGGCTCGGCACGGTTCGATTCGGTTAATAACCATAAAAATAAATTATTTTTTATAGATTCATCCGTCAAATTGATATAAAACAATTGATGAAAAAATCAATGAAAACAAAAACACAATAATTTAAACAAAAATGCAAACATTATCAAACAATTTTCTAAACAAAAATGCAAACATTACCCCAATTTTCAATTGCAAAATACAATTTAACAAACAATATTATAAATATAACAATACTAAACTTTTTCTTCATTCTTGATTGTTGTGCATCGAAGTTACCTGATTCATTCTTCCGCACAAGTCTTACTAGCATAAATCAGCACTCAAAATTGATTTCTATATAGTAAATAATAAATGTATGTAGAGAATACAAGATACTACCTATTCCATAATGGTCTTAACTAAGATTTAAATTAAAAAAAAAAAAAACAATTCATATTGCACAACCCTACCCAGCACCTTGCTACAACAATATCAATTCATCAAAAGATCCATCAATGCTTTAATAAAAGAAAAAAAAAGAAAGAAAAAGAAAAAATGAGCATTAATAAATACACTACAATTCAAAAACATTAGAGCAAATCTGATATAAAAGAAACTAAGGCTTAAATGTAATATAAAATCAATGCTAACCTCAAGAATTTGGTTGGAGTTGTCGACCACGCCTCGAAATTGGCTCAAGTCTATACTATAATCAGTACTGATTGAATTTATCCTCTCTTCGAAAAAATTTGAAACAATTTCTGCATCAAATCCCGAAAATGCGTCCCTGGAATTGGATATAAAATGCAATTAGATTACAGATACAACAAAAATGACTGAGGTGAATTTTTTGTTCCAATAATCTTGATTAAGAAGGCCCCTCACCTGAGGTTCTGTCTTTTCTTTAAAACTAAAGTCCAATCTGATTCAAACTGAAAGTCGTGTGGAAAATTTTTCGGAAGCAATGACGGCTTGGACAGTGGAGGTAGTGGAGCCGTGCGTGAGTTTGTGGTTTGTGGAGATTAGAGTTTGCATTTATGTACTGTCATACTAATGTTATTATTATGGGCTAATGGTAAGTGGACTGGCCTACTGAGTCAGATAGATGTAACGGGGGGGGGGGGGGTTTTTTTTTGGGGGGATTTTATTTTGGGTTGGATAGAAATATAGTGTAAAGCCCAATAATCAATTCAATTGTGTTTTTTTTAGCAGGTAATCGGTTCGATTTCGGTTCGACAGCGTAAATATCATACCCGCACAGCCACGAACCGGTTAATTAAAATTAAATACCATATTCGCTCCATTGCACCATCAATTCGATTTTTCACCCCATTCGATTCGGTTAACCTTGATTTTCGATTTTGATGGTTCAAATTGTCATCTTTATGTGAGTTCGGTTAGGTCCCTTTGTTAGTTTCAATAAAAGGTGTGTGACTCAATTAGTCTACTACAATAAAATCCAAGAAAATTTGTGCAGTTTTCAAATCCTAAATGGCATTTTAAATATGCATTTTATTGACATATTTTATATGAGAATTAAGGTTAGCTACTTTTTATTTTCTTGAAAAGGAAATACACCTAGTGGAGAACAAGGAAGAAGATCTAAGTGAGGAAGTAATTGACTAGGCCATTAAAAGCTCCTTCAAAATGTTATCATCTCTCCTTTCTATGTGCAAGGATTTTATAATCCAATGATCTCAAGGTTACTAAAATCCTTATTTACATGGTTTTAATGTCCAAAGGAAAATTAATTTCCTATTGTGATGATTAAAATCCATCAACCAACACAAACAAATAGGACTTATATTCCCCTATAAGATGGACATGACTTATTTGGTATTGGGCTGATTTGTCGGGATTATTTGGTAAAATGATAGCAAATACCTTTATGTCTAAATGTGGTACCATTTCACCATATACGTGCGCATGCTGGGCAATTTTGGAGGGACTCAAATTTGCTTCAAACATGAGTTTGGCCATTATGATGCTAGAAATTGATTGCAACAATGACGCAACTTTGGTAAATAATCCAAGCTTCTACTTACCCGCCTTATTCGATTTCGATGCCTGGCAAACGGTATAACATGCACTTGTTTCTTTTTAGAATTTAGTTTGGTATTATTGACCACTTGATTTCATTCTAATCGCGTTTACTCGGAGATTTGATGGAATAGAACGTTTGTGCTCGTTTGTTTCAGAAAGAAGGGGGAACAAAACCTTACTTATATTGCACATTACATACTAGTATATAAAATATGGAAATTGCTTCCCGCACACGCAAATTTCATAGGGTCAATACAGGGAGGGGGAGGGGGGAATTCATTTGTACATGTAGCATCATTCATAAAATATCGCAAAGTTTAGAAGTTAAATCAATAAGAGCTCGTTTAACAAAATTTTTGAAGAGTCAAAGCTGCTCCAAGATTAAAATTTGAATTTGTTTTTGAAAGTTTGTCTTTTGCCTTTGCTTACGGTAGAAAAGTTATTTTAATTTTTGTTTGAAAACTAAAATTAAGCCCTAGTTTGGCCTACTTTCTTTCAAATTTTAATGTTTGGAATTATTTTTTTTTGTTGAATGTATAGTTGAAAAAAAGGATTTTTTTTTCTTTTTAAGTTACATGTAATATTATTTAATGGAATATTGTGTGATTGAAAAATAAGAAAAAAGAAAAATTTGAATGAGAAAGAGGGTCAAACGGGGGCTTAAAAGAGCTTCCTATTCCTGAAATCCTTTTAGAGTAAGTCACATTAGATCATCTTCTTTTAGAAACTCTTTTAGAATAAGTACTTTCATTAAATTAGTTAAACGTTTCTCAAAAACAACTTTTGAGTCTCAAAATCACATTTTGACTTTTTAAAAGTCACGTCAAATGGACTCATAAAGTAACTTCTTTAGAAAGCACTTCTACAAAAACTCGAAGCAAAAGTCGAACTCTGCCAAATGGGCCCTAAAACTAACGGTCTAGATAATTATGGGCCAATGTTCTAGCCTTTAACCAACCATAATCGCAAGACAGCCCACTCATATTTCATGGAACAGTGACCCGACCCACTTACTCACGATGGAAAATTCGCAATCTATTTTCCCATTTCAATTTGATTTTCAGAAGCTCTAATTTCATGCAAACAATTCGTAACATAAATCAATTTTTTTTTCGTAATTGACTGTAATTTTCTCCTTTCAAATCTTGTCAATCGGTTATTGTAAGAGAAAAAAGGCTCAGTGGTTGGTAAACCATGTCCTTGAGAAGCAACAGCAGCAGCAGCAGCAGCAATTATAGTAAAGAAGACGATCGGAACAAGGATACTTCTTCTTCACCTTCTACGTTTGATTCAAGATTTAATCAAACTCTCAAAAATGTTCAAGGGTATGTGTTTAATTTGTTACTCCTTAGATCCAACAGTAATTAACTTCCAATTAACCCAAAATTTTGTTACCCAGGGAAATCCCATTCCCCAGTTGGTCACGGGTTTCTTCTATTTTCGTACAGATTTGAATATGCATTTGAAAATTAATACTGAAAAGCCAAATATAATTAAATTTTTGAGTTCGTATGAATTTTGATCTGGAGATTAATTTAATTGCTATTGTTTTTTTTAGCTGATAATTAATGATCTAAATTCTAATTTCAGTAGATTTGATTGTTTACATTGTGGATGCATGTAAAAGTCCCCCTTTTTTTTTCGGGTGAAAAATGGGATCATGGAACAGCGATGTATGTTTGCCAATAGTGCAATATTTCAGGTTCTTAACGGTGAATTATGTGATCTATTGTTTAATTTCTTTTAACATTTTTTTCTTCTTCAACTTGGATTTACTGATATAAATTATTCACTCTATTTGGCTTCGTCCCCACTTTCAAAATTTTGATCAAATTCTTAACTGTTGCTTGCTTTTTTTCTTTATTTTTTTGGTAGGCTACTCCATTCAAAGTGATTGATGCAGTACACTTCCTTCAGGAGTACCTTTTTATTTATTTATTTTTTCCTTCTACTTATCTTTGGATGATTCTTTAGATTTAATAAATTTTTTAGTGAAAATGCCTAAATTTTCAATAACTGGGCTTTGCATTGCTTTTTCTTTTTATTTTCACAACTTTGTTACAATTGATTTACTGTTTGATTTGCTTATTGCCATCATTGCATAATCTACTATTTATTAGGATTCAAAATCTATGAAAGACTTAAATCTTAAGATTTAGGGCTTGCTTGGGAGTTTTCTTGTCTGATTTTGGGTGGCACCATCTATGAGGGGTTGAGAAGATGGGGGTTTGCTAGTTTTTTTTTTTACACAGATTTTGGATTGTTTAAAATCACTTAAAATCGATGTAGTGTAATTTTGATCGTTTTTCTCAATCCACCAAATCTGCGTGTTTTGGCTACTTCTCATATTCTCTTCTAATTTTACCATTTATAAAATAATTATTTGCACGCAACATATTTTGTTCAAAATTAATTTATAAATAAAAATAAATTAATTCAAAAATTATTTATAAGCAAAAACATTACTTTATAATTAAAAAATTTACATATAAGCAAAAAATTAGTATAAGATAAAAATTCACTTTTGTGTAAAAAAAAAATGTTTATAAACTAAAATACTACTAGTAAGAGAAAATTTACTTATAAAATAGAAAAAATTACTTAAAAGTAAAAATTCACATATTTGTAAAAATAGTTTAAAGTAACTTATAATTGTAAAATTAACTTATAATAAAAAATTACTAAGCCCTTGTTTGAGCCACATTATAAGAATAAAAATATATTTTTGAATAGTGTATTGATGGGAAATGTGGGGTTAAGAAATAAGGAAAGTTTTGGATTTGCGTCTAATATTATTTTATTGAAAAATGTGTGGTTGAGATAATATCAAATCACTGTTGAAAAATGTATTTTTTTTTTAAAAATGTGACTCAAACATGGCCTAACTTAAAATTATAAGTAAAAATTTACATTTAAATTTTCTAGTTAAATATTAATTTATATGTAAAAAAATTACTTATAAGTAAAATATCACTTATGACTTATGAGTAAATAAATCATCCAAGAAATTATAAATGAAAGTTTCACTAAAGGACATATATGTAATTTTATTCTTTTAAAAAATTTTCAGAGCCGGTGGATAATAAACTCCCGAGCATATGTTGGACTATTTTAAAACCACTATTAAAATGACTCAAAACTGGCCCATTTATAAACGCTCAAACCGTACTTTAGAAAATGCCCATAATCGTCACCTTGAAACACCCAAGCAAGCTCATCACCAAATGTTCAACAATTTCCCAGATTCTAAAAGAAAATATCATCCGTTTTGTTCTGCTTACAATTGTCTTCTCTTAGTGGTTATGTTCCTCTGATGCAATGATAAATAAATTCAGTTGAGTAAAGTGTTTTTTCTTTATCCACATTTTAAATATTGTACTTATTGATATGTACAGGCTGCTCAAAGGTCGAAGTTTTCCTGGTAAGGTATTGATAACACAGAGGTCGGATCCTTTGGATCAATCAGCTCTGCAATCTCCAAATAATGACAGAAGGTTCTCGAACGATGATACTGAACAAACGGACAAGTTTGATAGATCTGTTGAGGTAGATAATTTCTATCATTATCTATTCATTACTCATATATATGTGTGTGTGTGTGTATTACATAGATATGAGAATTAAATCCTAACAACAGATTTAACTTTTATTTATATTAGGATGAAATCCAAAACAGAAGCAATGCAAGTGCCAGTTCATCAGCTAACAAGACGAAAGCATCAACATTGAGTACTGACAATACATCCAAAGTGGTTCAGAAAACTGCAATGGGAGCTAGATCTACAGATTCTGCAAGGCTAACGAAATTCCAGAAAGAATTATCTGGAACTACAGTCATCTTAGGTATTGAAATGTATTTTTGATCATTCATTCTTCGTTTTGTATGTTTTCCCATTTATGGAAATTACAGACACTTTAGATGATAATTATTGCTATTTGCATGAGGTGGTGCTGGTGTTAAGTTGGGATGATATGCAATATGACTTTGATTTGTATCTTAAAATTTCACTTATTTTCATCTTCTCAATAGGATATCTTTTTTATTTAATTTTCTCCTGGCAACTTACAGCCTTTGCTTCTTTCGTTCTATCACATGCAGAAAAATTGCGCGAATTAGCTTGGAGTGGTGTCCCACCTTATTTGCGTCCTACTGTATGGAGGCTTCTGTTGGTATGCCAGATTTCCAATTTGGGTTTTAGACTTTAGTAAGATTTTTGGATAGGAATTTATGGTACTTTTAGTTGCGACTATTTTATTCACAAATGTCTATAGTTTTACTCTCTGTTCTGAGTATCCCGTACACAGGAACTGATGGGGGTAGTGCATCCCTAGTTTAAAAATATTACAAAAATGTAAAACTATACTCAAAGGCCGGTCTGCATGTTCAATATCATTTTCAATCTGCCTGACAAGTAAATTTATATTTATGAATGACTCATGGAGTATTTTAAATCTTACTGAACCAACACCTGTTAAGAGAGAAGTGGATCATTAAATAATTTTTGGCCTGTCTTCAGATTCTAATCCATGAAAGTTGCATTGACAAGGAGTCAGAGAACAGTTACAAAGCTGTACTCAATCATTTAATTAGTCTTTGCTTTTAGAATTACAATATAAAAGGTATAGGTACATCAGCTTTACATATTGACTATTTTACTTACGGATTTAGTTAGGACTAGTCAACGCTTTCTAGGAACTTTATTTAAACAGTTTTGTGGGTTAATGTTACCATCCTTAGTAAATTTTGAATTCTGAAGCTGCTTATATTTTCTTTTCTTTTCCTTGGAATTTGGTTCCATGATATTTCTATCTCAAAGTTTTACAGTACTTAGCAGACCGATTCCAGAATTGTTTTATTCAAGATTTTCTTTTTGGCAATTTGAATTTTAAACATGAACTGACAACAGGGATATGCACCCTCTAATTCAGATAGAAGGGAGGGAGTTCTGAAAAGAAAGCGCCATGAGTATCTTGATTGTGTTGCACAGTATTATGATATTCCTGACATAGAGCGGACAGATGAAGAGATCAGCATGCTCCGTCAGGTATGATATGCCTTTGTAAGTTTGTTTTTCCCATGTGTCTACTTCACAGTGTTATGCAGCCACATAATGATTGCTTCACTTTTGCTGGTTAGATCGGTGTCGATTGTCCTAGAACTGTTCCCGATGTATCTTTCTTTCAACAAGCAGAAGTTCAAAAATCATTGGAACGAATACTGTATACATGGTTAGATACTTCTCTTCACCTTACTTTTTCCTTAATTGTGGCGCTTCTTTTGATGGCAAGGTTTGCCTACAGTGTAAAAGAGATTCTTGAGCCTCCCAGTGTGAGAAATGATTAACTTGTCATTGAAGCTCTTGTCAATAAATAGATTCAATGAGTTTGATCACTGTAATTGAGATCAAATTATAAACTGGGTTCACTGAAGATTTTAACAAAACTTTTTTGGTAAAAGGAAGTCTACTTCATACTAATGCCCGACGTAATAAGCCTTTAAATTTTTTGACGAGTTGATTAATACTCCTTAAATTTCCGCCCCGCATTACTCCTCCTCTCTGTGTGTGTTTGCACGTGCATTTTCTTTAGCATCTCTCCAAGTTTTGTTCCTTTGTCTTCTCCCTAAAAGTTATATTCTAGGGAATATTCTGGGAACAAAAAGTGGAGATCATTGATGACAATTTGTTGTTATGATTTAGCCCTTGTTTGGGCTCCATTTTAATGTGATTTTGGAAGAAAATGTATTTAGAATAGTTATTTTTTATTTTGGCGAATATGTGGTTAAGGAAAAGTTTTAGATTTACGTGTAATATTATTTTATAGATTAATGTATGGTTGAAAATGAGTTTTGAAAAAATATATTTTGGAAATAATGGAGCCCAAATAAGGACTTATTGGTATCATCAAAAGAGACTCATGTGAGGATTTCATAAATTTATAATATTGCTTATTCGGTAGGAAGGCAACAAGCATGCTGCTTATTATGGCTCTAATCTGTGGTTTCAAGTTGTTAAAGTATAACCTCTATCTGAGCTCTTTTTGACAAAAAATCCATGATGATATTGATTTTGGTGAAAACATTTAGGGTCCGTTTGATTGCAAGAATGGAAATTGGGTGGAAAGAAAACGAATTTTAAAGAATTAAATTGCCTAAAACTTGTTTTATTGGGAATTGTCAATTAAATGTGTTTGCTTGGTCCTCTCTCTGCTATATCAAGCCCATTTTCAAATTCGAACCGCTATAACCGAAATACTTTTTCATTTGTACATGGGTTTAGTTCGATGTCCTTGTTCCATTTAAACTATAGAAATATAAAAATACATAAAGCTGCAAAATACATTAGTTTCCCAATCTTGAAATCTTTATTGCTGGCCTATCATGTCTGTTTGGCTAAGGTGCACTTCTTTATCTACTTCATGCATAAATGCTATGCTATTGATAGCTTACTTCTCGGGTTTATTAACATATCTTTTTCCCCTTTACAGGGCAATTCGGCACCCTGCTAGTGGTTATGTGCAAGGAATAAATGATCTTGCCACGCCTTTCTTAGTTGTTTTCTTATCAGAATACTTAAGTGGTAGTATTGATACTTGGTCTATGGCTGATCTTTCTCCTGAGAAAGTATCTAATGTAGAAGCTGACTGTTATGGGTGTCTATCAAAGCTGCTTGATGGTATGCAGGACCACTACACATTTGCTCAGCCAGGAATTCAGAGGCTTGTGTTTAAGCTAAAGGAGTTGGTTAGAAGGATTGATGGTATTAATCTTTCATGAACTTTATTCATTAATATCATAGCAGTTCTTTTTTTTTTTTTTTTTTAAATTCTTATAAGTGTATCTGTAATTGTATGCTTATTATTTGGATAAAATAAAATAAAATAAAAAAACACAGAAAAATATTAGTTGCATAAAAATACACTACAAAAAAGCCACCTGGTTGCTAAACCTCTTGATTATGCAGTGTAGACTTCATTCTTCCTCGCCCACAAATGACCTCAAGAAGGTAAACCAGCATAATCAATGTGTGTATTATTTTTGTGCGTGTGTTAAAGCTTCATGTTTTAAATATAGTGGGATACACGAGGCAATAATACGGTGGAGAGAGGCTTGTAGGTGTCATTGTGTGGAATTTGGATAGGATTGAAGTTGGATGGGTGATGAAATGTAAATGATATAATGGTGACAAGAATATTACAATTTATATATATATATATGGAGGAATGCATACACACGAGTAAGAATTTCTATATATGAATAAGCATTTAATTTAGATTTCATTAATGATAATATTAATTGAGGGCATTCAACAATTATCAGATATTAGTGAAGGTATTGTTGTCCCAAAAATTATATTCATGTGATACTTAATGGCCAACACTTTCTCCTTTGACATGTAGATCTCACATGTGCCACTTTCTCTCTAGTCAGTATTATATTATACATACATCTGGAAGTTGTCTTTGTTTCTGCTATTTAGTGCTTCTATGCGGCTGGCCAAATGTTCATCATAAATTTTTAAATATGTGCTGCAATTTACCTATGGAGATGCTTTGCAGAACTGTAATTGAGAAAACCTTTTTCTTGTATAGTTTAAACTCAAGAAGCACATGCACGAACTGAATGACAGTAACTCATTAGAAATAAAATTAGACATAACAAAAGTTTTTTCCCTCCAAAAAAGCCTGATTTTTGTAAAAAACCTTTATGCAGGAAATCAAATATATGTGCCTCTAGTTAGTTTAAGCACTTCGTTAATATATCTTGTTACTTTCTTTACTTTCCTTCCTTCCATGGTTGTGTCAATATTTGCCTCTTATATCCTTTATCGTGTATACATGTTTTCTATCTTTGTCGGAGGTAACCATGTGGATATAGGTAAAAAGTTGGTGGTTAGAAAATGAATTGAAAACTGGAAAACATATTACTGGGTTGACATATTCATTTTTGGCAATTTTGTCACTTTTATCATTGGTGAATTTACCAAATTGACAAGTTGCTTTTTCTGAATTTCCCAGAACCTGTTTTAACCCACATGGAGGAACAGGGGCTTGAATTTCTTCAATTTGCTTTCCGCTGGTTCAATTGCCTTCTTATACGTGAGGTTTGTATCAATGCATGCAATCATTTCACGATTTCATAATATTGTTCATGTGCTTATCAATGTATTATTTACTCTATAAAATTGGGAAAACATGTTATATGAAAGTGTTAATGCTTTTGTTTGGGTTCTGTATTTGAGTTGTGAAATCGACATTGATAGTTTTCATAGCGAAAAGGATACCTAATGGATTTATATACTCTGTAGATTCCTTTTCATCTTGTAACCCGCTTGTGGGACACATATCTTGCGGAAGGAGATGCATTGCCAGATTTCCTCGTGTACATATTTGCAAGCTTTCTTTTAACGGTAATATTTGATTTTGCACATGTCTTTGAAATTGAATAACACATAACTTGCTATATAGTTGATGGAATTTCATATTTTTAGTAGTTATTCCAACTAATGCTTAAAACCATGCCTACCTCATGTGAATTTTTTTCTTCCTCTTATAGTGTTACTCAGCATAATTAAATATTGACTCGGTAATATTTGATCTTTTGGTATGATTGTCACTGTCAAAGAGTTGGAAACTGAAGTTTGTTAATTATATATTTCTAGTGGTCAGAGAAGCTTCAGGAGCTTGAATTTCAGGATATGGTCATGTTTCTTCAGCACCTTCCAACTCAGAACTGGAATGAAATGGATCTTGAAATGGTGCTGTCTCGGGCTTACATGTGGCACACGATGTTCAATAAGTCTCCGAGCCATTTAGCTGGTTGAAGAGCAAATAACAATATCTGTAAGATGGGCCTTTTTGTGTTACCTTTATTTGAAGTTTTCACAGAATATTTTTCAATTCTCCGTTCTGTATTATGATTTGTAATATTTGTGTTCTTGGTTACTGAAGAAAAGGGAAAGGGAAAATAAACTCTGATGTCCATTTTTTGATTATATTCAATTGGCAGGCGTTAGTTTAATTCATATTTATTGAGGCAGATCCAGAATACATTTTGTTTGAACTTCTGATTTCAATCTTGTAAAGACATTGTGGAGGAAGTTTTCGATTCTGGTTGGCAGTTTTGTGGCTACAGCAGTGCTGTTAGATGTGTGATTGAAGGAAGGTTGATGGGTTTGGGTCGATGTGGTTGTGGTGGTATGTTGTGGCAGGTGGCAAATTTTTTAGTAGAAATTTACTTTGTACTTATTTTGCTTTGGAGCATGTTACATGTACATCAAGGCCTACATAGTGATTTACACAATGCTACATGATATTTTATCATTGGATAATTTAAAATACAGTTAGCTTTTTCATCCAATTATTTTCGTTCAACTCATATTTTGGCATTGCTTCTGGATCTTCCTTCTTGTACAAACAACAAAATCCTTTTGCTTTTCCTTTATAAATACGGACTGTTAAATGGTTATGTGCATGCTTTATGGATGAATAAAGTCCACCAAATATGATCATCTTCGTTTGATTTTTTAAGGAATTACTTGTTTCAAACATGTTAAAAGACAAAAGGAAGTTGAACCATGTATGTTCTTTGCAATAAACATCCTATAGTGCAAGCCAAACATTGAATCATGTCTATCTAAAAGATATGGTGTTAAAAGCATCAGTTTAGATTAATACACTTTATGTGTTCAATTAAATGAATCATGTGACTTTACATTTAAATACAGATATCATTATTTAATTCTATGCAGTTGCGAGTGCTTTGAACACTAGTGTTGATGAATAACATTACTCTTACAATTGATCATCTTGGCAGATTATGAAGGTTTCAATTATTAAATTCAAAAGCAACTTCTTCCCAATAAGCTGGGAGTTAACTGCATGATTTTAGTTTACTTACACTGTTGGTACTTAGTTCAAAAAGCAGACTGGTGGTATATTTGTTGTAATTTATCTTTGGGCTCTGAAAGATAGACTATAAATTGTAACTGAGTACTCAAAAAAAGCTGTTAATGTCTTTCTTAAGCCTTAACCTCATTGACATAGAAAAGCACAACTTTCATGTACTAAACTTGCATCGTGGAATAATAACTTTCCCCTCAAACCCGATGCTATCAGAAATTCTTCAAGTGTCCAATTATAAAGATGATTAATTGTGAGAAAGCCACCTGTGATCAAAGCAGTGGACAATCCACAAACCACTCACAGTAAGAGATGGTTGAACCTCTCTTCCTACCATAGACCTACCGGGAATGATTGCGAACTTCTATCTAATTCTGCCATGCAGAAGTCGATAGCTTCCTTATACTATGCTTCAGGCACTAAAACCATCTCAGCGGTTTTTAATTAAACGTATCTGTCTATGAATTTTCATTGGTCTCGATTGGTTTATCATTATTTTGTCAAACAAAAAGAAGATTTCATGAGTGCATTGCTTAGAATCCAAAACAGAAAAAGAGAATGTAACTATGTCATACTGTGAAATCTAAGCTTTTCATATCATGAACAAGCATAATGAATGAATGCATAATCTCTATTTTCTAATTAAGATGTGACAGCTTGGCTAAGCTTAAAAATAAGTAAAAGTTACTGTTAAGTAAAAGTAACTCTTAATCTAACTTATTTTCTACTTTAATCATTTAAAAATTAACATTCCTTAATTCGGATAAAAGTTGTTTGGCGAACTCAATCATTCCATTCCTCTCCAACAAAGTATCATGTCATTGAATAAAGTCAGATTCGGGTCCTACCACAGCTCCTTCCTTACAAAGTTAAATACCTGAATCCTGATGCATAACAGATAAATTGAACTTCTATTCAAAGAAAACAAAAGAAAAAAATACAAGCGAAGTCGACACATGAATGAGATTTTCATAATTATGAATTGCATCTGGACTACCATACCAAACAAAGTGCTGTAAAGATAATATCAGCAAATTATTAGCAGAATTTCTACACGTTAAAAGTAAATCAAAATAAGCCGCATCATTAAGCTCACTAGACAGTTCATACAATCAATCTAGTCAAGCTAACGGTTCAGTACATTTTTGGTGTGTTTAGGCACCCCCCCCCCCCCCCTCCCGAAAATCAGAACCTCAAAAACTGAAGAACGACTAAGCCAAAGGAGATATCTTACGCCACTATGCATAATACGAAACAGATGACTTTTTGTTGAGATTTGTTCAAAAATCAATTTAGTATAATATGTGGAATGTGAATGGGATAAACAAAAACCAAAAGGAGGCCCTTTGTTATGGCTCATGCGAAATTTAGTATAATATGTGGAATGTGAATGGGATAAACAAAAACCAAACGGAGGCCCTTTATTTTGGCTCATGCGACAAACGGAGGCCCTTTATTTTGGCTCATGCGACTTGGGGGCAAATTCTGGGTGTTCCATGCGACCGCATGGATTAATACCATGCGGTCGCATGGTTATGGAATCCAACTGTTGCCTGGACATTTTTGGCCGTTGCAAACTCAAATTTGGTGGCGTTTCTTACATATTTTGGCACAATTTCATGCATATGATCAAGGCCTATAAATATGGGATCATTATTCATGCCAAAATGCATTGGAAACACTTGATCAAAACCCTGATTTGCTTTCATATTTAAATCTTCTTTGTGTTCCCAAAGTTTTGGAGGATCGCACTTATGCTTTAGTGCTAGATCCTTGACAAGGCCTTGATATAATTCTACGAATTGTTTGCCAAAATCCTTAAGCATCTCAAACAATTCCGAGAGGAGGTAAATATAGTTTGAGGACAACGATTATGCGTTCGAGCCTTTGTACTTGTTCTTTACAATTTTCTGGTGTTAATCATCTTATTGTTGCATTCTTGTGATATTATTCTTGTCTCTTCTTCATCCCTCCAAATATTTTCAACAATTTCAAACTATATTTATCCTGCAATGGAGAACAAGACAACCATGGCGACCATTAAACTTATAAATCAAGATCTGGTTCGATTGGATGGTTTTGATGGGATGAACTTCACGCGGTGAAAAGACAAGTTGAAATTCCTATTAATGACTTTGAAGATTTTCTATATTCTTGATTTAGATTTGACGCCTTTGTCAGAACACACAAATGGAAAAACCGAAGCAATCAAGGCAGAGAGACAAAAATGCCAAGAAGATAAATTGATTTGCCGTGGTCACATCTTGAATGCACTATCGGATCATCTATATGATGTGTACATGAATACTACATCGACGAAGGAAATCTAGAATGCATTAGAAAGTAAATACAAAGCGGAAGAGGAAGGTACAAATAAGTTTTTGATTTCTAAGTATTTTGATTTTAAATTCTTAGAAAATGTTCCCCTTCTTTCCTAAGTGCATGAGTTGCTAGTGACTTTCAATAAATTAAAGACGGTGAAGATTGAAATCCCGCAGACTTTTCAAGTGGAGGCTATAATTACGAAACTCTTGAGAACTTGGAAAGGATACCGGAAGAAAATAATGTATAGTTTCAAAAATTATTCTTTGGAACAATTGCAAAAAATCTTTGGATTGACAAAGAATCCTGATTGCGTGACAAGAGCGAAATCTCTTTGGAGGGAACTTCCAAAGCTAATACTATTGAGAAATCTGATCTACCTACAAAATCCAATACGGGAAAGCCTTCAAGGAACTTTAACAAGTCCAAGAAAAATACCAAAGGAGGGTGTTTTGTTTGTAGAAAATCTAGTCACTACGCTAAGAAGTGTAGACATCGAAAACAAAACAATTGTGAGGGTAAAGTGAATTCCATCCAAGAGGACAAAATTGTGGCCGCCGTAAGTAAAATAAATGCTATCAAAGGAAAAGTATCCGGGTGGTGGTATGATACTAGCGCCGCATTACATGTATCATATGATAAATCCTTGCTCAAAACATATCATAAGATAAATGAAAATCAAGAGATTTAAATGGGTAACGAAGTGCGGTCCAAAGCAATTGGCTAGGAAAATGTTGATATTATCTTCATTTCCAGAAAAAAAACGTTACTCTAACAAATGTATTGCTTGTTTCGGATATCAATCGGAACTTGGTTAGTGAAAATCTCTTAGGCAAACCGGGCATTAAAAGTGTATTCGAGTCCGAAAAACTTATAATATCCCTTAACGGGAAATTTGTTGGAAAATGTTATTCTTGTGAAGGAATGATCAAATTATGTACCGTTGACAATGAAATGAATAAAACTGATTTTGCTTATATTGTGGATACATTTTCATTATGGCATGCTAGATTAGGTTATGTTGGAATAAGCACTATGAAACACATGAAAAATTATGAATTGATCTCATATAATGGAAATGATGAAAGACAATGCAAGATATGTGTAGAATCTAAAATGATCAAAAAGCCTTATCATAGTGTGAAAAGGACTTTAACATTTTAGAACTTATTCATATCGATATATGTGAAATGAATGGCACGTTAACTAGGGGTAAAAATAGGTAATTTATTACTTTCATTAATGACTTTTCTAGATAAACGTATGTTTACTTGATAAACCATGAAAGTGAAGTATTTGATATATTTAAATATACAAAAACGAGGTTGAAAATTATCTAGGAAAGAAAATTTAAACCTTAAGAAGTGATAAAGGTGGTGAATATTTTTCTAACAATTTTAACTTGTTTTGTGAGTAACATGAAATTATTCACCAATTTTCTGCACCTAGGACACCCGAACAAAATGGCTTGGTTGAAAGAAAAAAAAGAACCTTAATTGAGATGTTTAGTGTCATGTTTATTCATGCTAAGTGCCATTTAATTTGTGGGGTGAAACTTTATTGACTACATATAGGATACATAATAGGGCTCCTTCAAAATATACTAAAGTTTCTCCTTATGAATTGTGGAATGAAGAAAACTGAACATTGGATACTTCAAAGTATGGGAGTATCTTGCTTATTGCAAGAACAAGAATTCTAATAAGATCAAATTGGGTTCAAGAGGCATTAAATGTACCTTTGTGGGATATGCGACTAATAGCAAATCTTATAGATTGCTGAATTTGGAGTCCAATGTGATTATCAAATCCAACAATGTGGAGTTCTTTGAGGATTCGTTCTCTTTGGATAATGAATTGAGGGAAAATCTTGAAAATATCCCTAACAAGTGGAATACGTGATGAAATATCTTTTAAAGATGGTGATGAATATAATGAATCACGAAGAAGCAAGAGAACTCGGGTTGAGAGATGTTTGGGACCGGATGAAATTGACCCTCAACTTAAATTTTTTTTTTTTTTTTTTTTTTTTTGTAGAAGGAAATGAGTTTAATGTTGTAAGAAAAATTCCTTTTGTTCTACAAGTGAAAAACGATT